TCACTATTTTGCATTGCTTTTTTTCATCAAAACTGATTTTAAAGTGCTGCAACTTCTCAATGAATTGAGATAAAGTAAAAGGCTTTTCAGCGTCAGTTACTAGTGACACTAAGATCGACCTGAGGCCATTTTAAGCCTGTCACATGTCCAAAATTTTCTTGGCGATGAGGGGGACTCCACCCCCCTTCAAACCCCCAAACAGAAGGGGGCACATCCACAGGCCTCAAAAGGGGGAGCAAAAAGCCGTCGAAACACGCTTATATGAGGGAAAAGGTTAAGAGAGTTTGACTTAACATTTTTAAGTAATTCATTGTATATTTTATGTAATTAAACTTTTTTCTGTAGTAGTTGACATCTTATTTAGAAAAAAGCAAATGCATTAACTGTTTATGAAAAAACTGAAACTTTCTTTCTTTTAGATTCCAGAAGATTTGGAGTTCAAGTATCATCCAACGTAGTATGAACAGTATTCCTTAAAAAACAAAGGATGCTAATAACTGGGCTTTGAGAGTCTTGGCAGACTGGGCTAAGTTCCGTTACAGTCAGGAGTCTACTCAGATAGAAGGTGTTCATCCTATTCCTGAAGATGTTGGTGCTTTAAATGATGACATGATTTAAGTACTGGGGTCAGCGCTTTGTCGTGGAAAAAAGGCAAGACGGTATAACCACCAAACTCTCTTTACACAAATTGTGAGTGGTATGCAAAGTTATCTAACACATCTGCGGATGTTTCTAAATTCAAATTTCACCATTTCATGTTTGAATGTTGAATTCTGCTTAAGCCGGTGCTAGGCGGCGTGGACGGTAACTTGCACTTTCCAGTACTGTCCATGAACAGGCTCAATCAAACCGAGCCTGAAACATTTTCAATTTTGCCGTGTTGGCCTTTCTTTAGGGATTCTGTATTCATCTATTTTAGTACAGTGTCAAGACCTAACATTAACTTTTTCGAGGAGAATTTCAGTTAATTGATTTCAGAAAGTGCTTAGACACTCGCATGATTGAAAGAACTGCATGCACAGGGGATTGGCATAAAAAACAAATGCAGCTGATCTTGTAACAAAGGAAGACGAAGTTCAGCTATAGCAATCAGGGATGTTATACTGCAGTAGGTTTAAGTAATGCAGTTTTCTTTTACAATGGGAAATTATTTGGATTTTGTGACTTTCAGGAGCACGTGAGCTGCCAGACTGATCAGTTTGAAATTTTAAAAGACAATGCTAAGGACTTGCGTTATACTAAATTAACACCAGGGATACGTAAACATTCTCAAGGAGGGCTGAAAAGCCGAAATGCATCTCTTAAGCCCATTATTCATTACGAGCAGGAAGACAGAGCATATTCTATTATAAATCTTTATGACTTGTATTTGTCCTTGATACCGCGGGTGAGTGCGTTCTATATGAAATAGATAAATACAGAATCCCTAAAGAAAGCCAAACACGGCAAAATTGAAAATGTTGCAGGCTCGGTTTGATTGAGCCTGTTCATGGACGGTACTGGAAAGTGCAAGTTACCGTCCACGCCCCCTAGCACCGGCTTAAGCAGAATTCAACATTTAAACGTGAAATAGTAAAATTTTGAATTTAGAAACATCCGCAGATGTGTTCATACGGCAGTTATCATGGAACCTTCAATGTGACAATTCCGTGCCATTCCATGAAAAGCGGCATATGGTCCCCAAGTAATAAAAAGCGTGTGCCCTAAACGAGAAAACAATGGGCGGAACTAAATAAAATGGAATTTTGAAAGGGGATCAGAGGTTATGAAGCCTGCGTATCACAGATAAGACGTCAAAAGACAAATTTAAAAAGCAGGCAACATATCCTAAGGGTGATTCAACATTATTCGAGTAGGAATATTGGAACCACCAAAGTGGAAAATGCCGAAAAGTTGAAACTAAAAATACCACAAGCACAACAATAATGTCGTGCTGAACGATCTTCAAGGATCGAAAATATAACATCATTGATTAAATGTACGGGGAGACTTTTTACAGCCGCCACACGGCACAAATAACACGGATGTGAAGTGTAGATGAAAACGGATCTCCGAAATTTGGTGCTGCAACAATAGCGAAAAATTCTATTAAGTCTATGATTAAGAGATTCTATAATGAAGCAGGCATTGATATGACGGATAGAAAAATATGTAATCATTCTGCTGGGGTTGCACTTTGTACCACATTGTATTATTAAAAATTTCCAAGACAAAGCAGTAATGAGTAGGAGCAAGCATAAGAGCAATGCCGTACAGTCCTATCAACGAGAACAGTTTGAAATTCTAAATAACATAAGTAATGCTCTTGAGCCTAATTTGCCACCTCTTAAAAAAAGAGAAGACTTCACTTCCATCTGAAACTGTACCTTACAAGGATGTTGTTCCGGTAAAGCAACTTCCTGACATAAATGATAACAATCTGACAATAAATGACTACTTTTATGAAGACAGTACTATGAAGCACTATAAAAAATAGAAGGCGACTATGAACAGAGTTTTGTATAGTATTGACTTTTGTTCTTCTATGAAAATTAACACACACTATTTTTAAGAAATACAGCGTTTTCATTGGATGACAAATAAAGCTGGACACTAAGAAATTTTAAATGCATTTCTAAGTCCCAAGAATCCTGAAACCTAATTTTATCCTTTTCCTAATTAGTCAGTTTCAGAATGAAATTCATTTTAAATAAAGATATTTGTTGATGATCAAGGTCATGTTAACCTGCTTAATATATTTGCAGAATTATCCTCTTTTCTTCTTTGATTTTATTGAACACTTTCCTTCACTGGGAAAAGTGGATCGTGCTGTCCGTGGTCAGGTCTTGTTTAATTCTACTGGTAATAGGGAACCTATGGTATATGCCATGAACACGGGATCTTGGCCATCAGGTGACCAAACAAAACGTTTAAATTTCCTATAACAGTTGCCATAGATTTTTCTTTTTCATAATCAATTCATTTAGTTTCTTTTAATGAGTTTACTTGTATTTGTTTTTATTTTTTTATTTTAAATTAGTGAATAATATAGTTAAATATTCAATCCATTTTATTGATATAACATTGGATTTTAAATTTTCAAGTCACTTATGTCTGGATTATTCGCTCATATATTCTATATTGAATATCACTTTTTTATACAAATACTGAATCTGCTTTCAAATGAATGGATTTTTGTCCAATGCTTTTTGAAAACAGGATGTGATTGTCGTCAAGCAGACTCTTATCAGTCCATTTATTTTTATCCTCTGTGCCAACTTCAGTGTTGTAACATGTTCCTGGCACTATAGAATAATTGATTCAAGCACATTTTTTTTTGGGGGGGGGGGCGTGAATGAGGGATCTGGCACTTTTTCATGACCCCTCGTGTACAGATTTATGTTAAATTTACCCGACTTCAGATTTTCAGGATTCATTTTATTACGGGTTAACTTTAGAAAACTTGAAAACAAGCCTAACCTAAACATTTTTGTTCAATCTCACCAAAGATTTTGTAGTAAAATTATTTCTAAATTAAACAAGTGGTTTAGATGTTGTTAAATGTTTTTTTCTCTCTAATTTAAAAGGACAACTAGATGACCTTACATACCAAATATCAAAGCACTAGGTCTTTCATGAACAGGCTCAATCAAACCGAGCCTGCAACATTTTCAATTTTGCCGTGTTGGGCTTTCTTTAGGGATTCTGTATTTATCTATTTTGTGATTTTTGAGAAGAATAATTTTTAAGATTTCCAAAAATAACTCTAAATAAAACTAATAAGGGCCCTGGTGGGTCCGTTTGCATTTTCAGGGGAATAATTTGAACAATCTTTATAAAGGACCACTAGATGATGTTTTATACCAAATATAAAATATTTAAATTGATTAATCCCTGGAGGGGCCTCTTTTGACCCTTGGGCATAGGTCTTGCACATTTTGACAGGCAGATTTAAGATTTTCCTGTATACTCCTGTATAAAACTGAGGTGTCGTTGGGGGCCCCTTTTGATACATGTTCATGTTACATACTAAATATCAAGGCTTTCCCCACTGTGGATTTTGACAAGAGGGTTTTTTAAAATTTCCCAAGATAACTTTATACAAAAATGATGAGCCCCCTAGTGGAGCCCCTTTTGACCCATAAATTTTATATTCTTTGTAGAGGATCATTAGATGATGTTACATACCAAATATGAAAGCTGAAGGCCTTGTGGTTTTTGACAAGAACATTCTTTTTAAAGATTTTGAGTAACGCCCACGGCTGGGCACCTTTTGACCCTAGGGGCATAATTGGAACATTCTTTGTGGTGGCCAACTAGGTTATGTTGCACACCACAAATCAATGCTCTAGGCCTTGTGGATTTTTAAAAAAGGTTTTTTGAAAATTTCCTTATATAATTTCATATAAAACAGAAGAGCATCATTGTGAGCCCCTTTTGATCCTAGGGGCATCCTAGAGGCATAATTTGAACAATCTTTGTAAAGGACCACTAGATTATGTTACATATCAAATATCAAGGCTCTACACCTTGTGTTTTTTTGACAAGTGGATTTTTAAATATTTTTCTAAATAATTCGGTTACTATGGCAACCAGAGTTCTTCAACGGATTTTTTAATAACTTTTTTCATTCAAGGAACATTCCTGTAAAGTTCAACAAATTTGCCCAATTGGCAATTGGTGTAGGAGGAGAAGTTGTTTAAAGTAATTGTTGACGCACGGACGTTTGACGACGGACAATGGGCCATCACATAACGTCACCTTGAGTACATTGTCCTCAGGTGCGCTAAAAAATGAGCTGTGTCACGACAAAACCAACATAATGGGTTTGCGACCAGCATGGATCCAGACCAGCCTGCGCATCCGCGCAGTCTGATCAGGATCCAGGCTGTTCGCTTACAAACCCTATTACAAGTAGAGAAACTGATAACGAACAGCATGGATCCTGATCAGATTGCGCGGATCCATGCTGGTCGCAAACCGATTATGTTGGTTTTGTCGTGACGCAGCTCAAATCTTACCACAACTAGTATCTTGACAGCCTCCGCCTTGTCTGTTATAAATCACAACTCTTTTGATTCCGTATACTTTTATGAACTCTATTTGAATCCATGGGCTGTAATCGCTAGGGCCACTGTGGTATAAGTTTCCTGTTATTCCAAATTTGTTATCTACCGCTTTATGTGGCCCAGTGTTAGAACTCCATTCTGATGAAGCAGTCACGCTACGATAACCGATGATAACATTAGCCAATTGAGCTTGAAATAAACAACAAAAGTAGGTAGTTGATAATTTGCTATTTTTTCTCATGCACAAAACAAATGGCTTAAAAGAAAATTGTCTTCTGTATGCATGAAAATATGAACATTGCTTCTTTGAAATTTATTAAGACGTAAATATTAAAAAAAAATCATTGCAGTGTTTATGTATTATGCATTTTTGTGTATCATTTTCTTTTTGTTTCCCCAGTTTTAAAACAAGGGCAATATTGTCGCAAAATATGCCCATCAAAAAGTTGTTGACATAGATGTGGGCATTATAGGTTTGCATTTAGAAGATATGCTCTGAGTTATGTCCTGAAAACATCTGGATATTTCATTTCACGGCGTCTTAACGCCGTGATATTGTGATGGGTAGTTTTTGGTAGCATGGGCAAAAGTCACGTGACAAAATGCCTTTCGATTTCTACAGCCGACATTTTATTGTTTTTACGCCAATTTCCGTGAAAAGTTGAATAGAAACAGTTTTTTTTCTCAAAACCATATAGAATCTAAACAGTATTTTTATCAACACACACATTTTAGCGTTTTATACTAACATCCTTTCGATTCGCCAGTTTTTATTTGTTTGAATGGATTATGTATGGTGGCTGATTTACACCATGCCGTACTTTCGCGTCTTCGCCACAAAATGCGAAAATGCGAAAACACGAAGGGACGACAAATTTGGACTTAAGTGTTCTCATGTCAGAATTATGTCTTTCATCGGAGTAAATCTTTTCACGTGTAAAATGTCTTTGAACATTACATTTCTAAGTTTCTATATTTGCAATTAAGAGTTTTTATTGCCTATTTGAAAAATTTCATTTTTCTTGCGCAATTGTCTATTTTTCCATAAAATACATTGGTGATTATGACTGTAGGGGTGCGGATTTTTTCCGGCGAACATTTTTATCTTGTGTATTATTTTTGATGTTTAAATATGATTTTTTTTTCAAAACGGCTTATATTAAGTGTTTTGATATATATGATCAGTGCATGTGCTGGGGTTGACAAATATGCATCTTATTTGGATTTTAAAGTCGTTTTGAGCTCCAAACCCCAAGTGTGTCTGCATGTGTCACACTTTCAGTCATGACAGTTATCACTTGTGTTACACTCTATCAATTAATGATGACTAAATGGACCCCGTACACAACTTTTGACCTCTCTATGTGAGCTTGACTTTGGTAGCAGGGACCTGAATTATGTCCGCAATATACCTCACAATGGTGAACATTTGTTCCAAGTTACATTAAAATTCCCCATGAATGTAGAAGTTCCGCTCCGTACAAGCATTTTTAATGACCTCTAAGTGTGACTTTGACCTTTAACATAGAGACATGGTTCACGAATTTGCAACTGCTTCTCTAAGTGGTGAATATTTCTATGAAGTTCCTTAGAATCCCACCATGTGTGGTGATATGCTCTGAACAACATTTCTATATTTTATCATCTTTTATGACATTGACCTTACATATATTAACCTAAATTACATGTTTTCACACCTGTTGTCATGATAATTACCATTTGTGTTTCAATCCCTTAATAAATGATGACTAAATGGTCCGAATACACATATTTTTATTTGATCTTTGACCCCCATTTATGACCTTGACATTGGCCAAAAGGACCTAAATTTTGCATTAGTTTAATTTAAAACCTTCCATATGTGTAGGAGATATGCTCTGGACAAAATCAATATATTTTATCATATTTAATGACATTGACTATCATCTTAAGTGAAATTGCCATTGCAAATATATTAACCTAAATCACATGTTTCACATGAGTTGTCATGATAATGACCATTTATGTTATAATCCTTTAATAAATAATAACTAAATGGTCCGAATACACATTTTCATATTTTTTATCTGCACTTTGACCTCTATGTTTATCATTGACCTTTGCTGCAGGGACTTTAAATTTGCACGCGACACTCTGCCCTACAATGGCAAACATTTGTGCCAAGTTATATAAAAATCTCTCAATACATGTAGAATATTTGCTCCTGACAAGCGTTTTTCAATGATCTTTAAGTGTGACCTTAAAAATTAATCTAAATACCTGAGTCATGCGCGCGACACGGCTTCGGGATCATTGGTGCCAACACTATAAAGTGCTGAGAATTGAGAACCGCTCAAGTCGGTGCTACGGGAGAGTGAGGGATGTTGCACTTATTCATTATCCCTCATGTACAGACTCAATCAAACCGAGTGTGCAATTCTTATGTAATTTTGTTGTGAATAATGCTTCCGAAGGATCACTTTGTTTCCAGAATTTTTCTCACTGTGGTTAACATTTCTTAGAAGTTTCATTAAAATTCCTCCATGCGTGTAGGAGAAATACTCTGGACAGAATCTCTATAGCTTATCATCTTTATTGACTGTGATTATCATCTTAACTGACCTTTACCTTGCATATATAAACCTAAATCACCTGTTTCACATTAATAGTCATGATAATGACCATTTGTGGTTCATCTCGCAATAAATATCGACTAAATGGTCCGAATTAATTTTTTATTTTTTATCTGAACTTTGATCCCTATGTGTGATCTTGACCTTGTGCAGGGATCTGAGTTTTACAAGCTACACTCCGCCTGACAATGGAGAACAGTTGTGCCAAGTTATATTGAAATCCCTCTATGCATGTAGCAGTTTGTGTCCGGACACAATGACCTCTAAGATGACCTAGACCTTTGACCTACAGACCTGTTTCATGCGCACGACCTGTAGACCTTTTTCATGCGCCCATTCGCCCTTCAGGAGAAAATTCGACCCGTTTTCCAAACGGGCATATAAAAAATTAATATTTTTAGATCTACATGTACAAGACAATTTGTGTAAATTATCATAACATATGCGATTTTTAAACTTAATATTCCCCGCCGTATCCTTTGAGGTCCTTTTGAATTTTAAATACTATATTAATATTATAATATTAATGTGAATTTGCTTGACATTCAAATACTGAAAGGAAACATAACTACATGTATGTGTAAAACAAATGATCCGTAACCAAATTCAAACTATATTTTTGACGTTTCGTCTGTGTTCCAAATGTTACTGTCATCCATTGTATTTTCAAACGGTATTTATTGGAAACATTGCTTTTGCAAAAGAAAACAAAGAGAAAAAGTTCAAAACTATGTAAAGAAAAAAGTGGTTTGTAGTCAACTATTGAGCTAACTTTTTTTTACAAAGTTTAATTACAATATTCTAAATGTACTTCTTGTTGAATTTATCGGCCGAAATGTTTTTTTTTATATTTAGTAACATCGATATTAAATTAACCTTGATTTTAGGGGGTCAATAAGCAATTCCAAGTCAGGGGTTAGTATCTCGAAGCTATCGTTATATTTGCGTTTACGAACGTGCTAACGATTGACGGAGGGTTGGTTAACGAGAGACTAGCGCGGGTATCTCGAAAGCAGTAGTAAAGCAATCGTTCGTTGCTTACTCGTTAGTTATTAACGATTGCGTTGTGTTATCATTTGAATACATGTACCGCGAAAATTGTGTACAGCTCTTGTTTATATTCACCGAATCATTATTTTGCGTAGACAAAGGTGAATATAAGGTTACGATCATGCATAACCGGAACACAATCACACGACACGTGCAGGATCCGCCGGTCTGTCTTCTAGCAATATAGACTTGTTTTGCGATGAAAATCCCGATTGCCTGTGATAGTGGTAAACCTACGAAAACAGTTCCTTTAAAAAAAAGAGAACAGTCAGTTGAAAGTTCCAATGAAACAGGCGTGATTTAAATTGAGGGGCGGGGCGGGAACTTAACATAGAAACTGCAATACTAAAAATAGAGGAAAAACGACTGTATATAGAACCGCAGAGACGGAAGACTTAGCAGCAGCGGCTGCCAGTGAAGTCAGATAATTTAAACACTTTACATAGTTAAAGCCAATATTCTTGCGGAGCTTCTTCTCAATACCAGTCAAAACATCTGGGGGCAGATAACCATCCCTCATTCTTCAGGCTATAACAACATGTTGTTTTAGGGTGTAAGTATACTGTCAATATTCAAACTTGAAAATGTTGCTTTCATTGTTGCTTTCCGTTTGAGTGAAATGTGGACTATATTTTCACGAAATATAATAAACTTTTACCCTTAAGACAAACATATGTACAGCAACTCTTTCTAAAATCCCACTTGTTACACAGCTGCAAAGACGTCATGCGCCTAACAATGACGCCATGAGCAAAACAATGACTTCATAAGCATAAATATATATTAAATATGTAAAGTCGATTTTCATTGGATAATCATGACGTTTATATTATTAATTATAAAGATTTTTGACAGGTAATATTGCCCTATATAAACGACTGTTTGGAAATATAACCCGAGCCGCTAGGTGATGGTTATATTTCCAACAACCATTTAACATGTCAGGAATATTTATAACGTATTTATAAAACCGCGAACTTCCCTTTTTTGAGAAAAAAAGTGAGATCTCTTAGGAAATTGCCAGAAACAGTGTTTATAAAACTATAAAAATGTCACGATTTTCCAATGAAAAGTGACGTGACAAACGTGCAGTATTATAAAATCTTTTATAACACTGCACGTTTGTTACTGCAAGTTTTGTACGTCAATTTTAATTGGCGTTTATATAGTTTATATACACAGCTGCTGTCAATTTATCAACGAATCTCTCTTTTTTCTGCAGTATTGTAAATTCGTTATAAACAGGATATATGGCCGATATAATTTTGTTTGCAATATAACTCTCACTTGGCGGCTCGGGTTATCGTTTATATACGGCCATATAACCTGTCAAAAATCTGTATTACTAAATATATACATGGCTGCTGTTAATTACAAAGTTTTAAACAAAGGATGTTTGCTGTATTATAAATTAAAATATAACGAGTTAAGTTATAACAACTGGTGTTCGCGAGTGAAATATTTGTTACTATATAATTATTGACTAGTGAGCCATTGAATATGATGTGATATTCACCGGCAGATGACATATTGACCGAGGCGATAGCCGAGGTCAATATGACTTTCTGCCGGTGAATATCACATCAAATTTAATGGCTCACTAGTCAATAATTGTTTTATTATATGAACAGACTAAGAAATAAAAAAAATCACAAAAAGTACAACCTTATATATACATGTACACATTTTGCCTCGTTGAAGCGCTGGAAAAAAGACGCACGTGTTAGGCGTGCAACGATTTCGCGAACGCTGCGCAAACAAAAGTAATTCAAGTTTATACTCATCATTGCGGTGTAGCCTTTAAGTAAAATGGTAATCTATTGATATTTTAATCGAGAAATATGCCATAAAGAACAAAAAGCAACAATTATTTTTTAAGTAACACGCGTATTTAACAGTCTACGGTGTATGATCATTAAATATGAGTCTCAATCTATTTTTAGACTGGGAAAATCCAATTCAGCCAGTGAATATGATACTACACCCAGTAAATATGATTTTATAAAAAGTTCTGTTGACTACTATTTGGACCAATGAGATTGCAGCTATATTTAGATCATATAATAATATGAAATGATAAACAAACAACATTTCTATATATTACATCCCTTTTTGTGGTACCGATTTTTGCAGCTTTTCTTCATGATGTAATTAATACGTCACAGTTTACTTTTCGAAATATAATTCTGTAACAAGTTTGAATTTTGTTGAATTTTCAGCATGATGTTTGCATATATTTATTAATATTTTCTTGTGCAAAATTACACATAACGGAGATTATTCCTTTCGCTGTTTAAGTTATGATATGTTTTTTTTCTCATCCGCATTCAAATATAAGTCTTAAATTAAACTGTAAAGAACCATTATATATTTTTGATATGTGAGAAAATTTTTGTTTGTTTGGATTTTTACGGGTCGTCAACACATAACTGGCCATATCGTGCCGAATGCTATAATAGGCTTAAAATGTTATGTAAAACTTTGTAAATGACAATAAAAATGAGCCAATTAGATCCAAGAATACAAGTTTATCTCTTTCAAATAATCAATGATATATTTTTATGGAATTGTATTAAAGAGTTCTTTGGGTGAATTTACACAATAAAATCTATTACGGGCCTGTGAAAATTCATGAGAAAAAGAAATACAATACTATATTTATGTCGGTTCTTCATTTATTATCAATAAAATGATATAATTCTCATTTTTTATGTACTTTAAAATCGCTCCTTTCTTACTTTTGTGTCAAAATGATAGTAACGAGAGCCTTACGACACCCTCTAGGCATCCGTTAATAATTGATCATGTTAACGATTATTCGATAATTACGAGAGCGTCGAGATAGCGGTGAAAACCTTAACGAGAGGTATACGATAGTCGTTATGCTAACGATAGCTTCGAGATACTAACCCCAGATCTCTTCATATATCAAATTTGATTACAAAACTAGGTTTTGTCCGAAAACATCGTTTTTTGGGATCATGGGGATGTAAAGACAAAACTAATTGCAGGTATGTTACGTCATTATTGTATATCTATGTCAAATTTGATTTAAATCCATTAAAGGAATTCAATATTTGTCATTGGATATCATTTACCTTGCCAAAAGGGCTAGTTCTTAGTAATTGTTCGACTTTAAGTCGCACTAATACTGTAATATCCCAGGGTCACATCTCTTATTCTTACCTTGATCTGTACTGTTGTAATGTAATATCCACTTTGTTTAATTTATCTATTTACTCTCTTGTATTCAATGTTCATTCACAGTAATATTTTTTATGAGTATGATGAGAGTTTCTCATCATTCATACTTCAACATACAGAGGCTGTCATAAATGCATAATGAATGTTTGTCTATTTAGATATCGGCTGTCTGTTTATTTTCATACTGTAACTCGTTTCTTGGACAGGAACTTTAAATGTCAGTCTCGAATGTATACAGTTTTCGCGAAATATGTAAACATTTTTGTTTATCGTTCTCAGACAAGTTGGCGTTAAATTGTTGATTGTACTTGATAAAGAAATCCTAGAAATGTCTTACCACAGAGCAAAACCACTTTATTCATCATTTAATCCATTTATTTTGTCACTGTTTTTAACAGCACTGTGAGTACACCTGTCCTCTTGCAGGCGGCCATTTTGTTACTATTTTTTCTATACTGTAAACACGACGAGCGCTCGCATAGCAAAAAAATAGAGAAAAACAGAATCCCTAAAGAAGGTCCAACACAACACAATTGAAAATGTTGCAGGCTCGGTTTGATTGAGCCTGTTCATGGGCGGTATTGGAAAGTGCAAGTTACCGTCCACGCCCCCTAGCACCGGCTTAAGCAGAATTCATCATTTAACACGAACATGGTGAAATTTTGAATTTAGAAACATCCGCAGATATGTTCATACGGCGGTTATCATGGAACCTTCAATGTGACACAGTATTTTTCATTCCATGAAAAGCGGCGTATGGTCCCCAAGTAAAAGAATGCTTTTGCCTCAAACGAGAAAACAATGGGCGGAACTAAATAAAATGGAATTTTGAAAGGGGATCTGAGGTTATGAAGCCTGCATATCACAGATAAGACGTCAAAAGCAACACTGGATGCTGTTCTTTATATGATAAAGTTTAATCTCAACTTTTTATGATGTTTCAACTTATTCCTAGCAGAAAACGTAAATATAAGGTGTGTTGTATTGTTTTATGTATTCTAAACTTAATTTTTTCTTTCTTCCACAAGGAAATCTGTTGAACCCACAAAAAAAACTGTGGGATGACTTTCCCACGTAAAATACTGTGGAGCGTTCCTTCCACAAGAAATTCTGTGGGCCCCACAAGAAAGTCTGTGGTGCGTTCTTTCCACAAGCTTGTGGAATTTGTGGGGACTGTGGCATATAAATAGCCCGTCTGCCTTCAGTCGGGGTCTTCCAACTTCGAAATTTTCATGTACACCGTATTTTGATCGTTCACTGAAATTTGATAGCTTAAAATACTTGACTGAATTTTAAAAGGTGTGCATTATTTTTTTTAACGTAAAATAAGTAAATTTCTTCTTTGAATTAAAGGAAATATAAATTTTTCTCTTTATTACATCTGCATATACTTAATATTTTTTGCATTTTTATTTTATCTTGGGAATTGACAGATACGCGTCATTTTAGTGGTTACGCCGCGGCTGTCCACCGTGTTTTATGACCTATTTCTATTCTTAGAATATTTTTATTTAACGAAATTTTTCTTTCTTCTTGTTTTTCGTACATGTTCATAAATTGTGAAATAATATTTATCTTGCAATAAATTTGTTGATTCTAGAAATATTGTTTTCCTTTTGCTTAGTTAAGGTGTTTCCCAAGATTGTTTTATTAAAATAATAATTAAATAGTTGGAAGTCCAAACGTCAAGAAGCGACCAACCGAGCAAGCATTTAAGTCGGCCCTAGTATTTACAGTCACGGTGAGCAGCTGAAACTGTGATCAGCCTACGCCAGAAAAGTCAACTCCCAGCTCACATTGATAGGTTGATATTGAAACAGATCCTGACAGCTCATTTAAAAAGAGATCCTACTTGATCACTGCTAAGGCTAACACGACCAAGCGCAAGGGCGTAACAAAACTGCATTGATCTTTTGGCAACTTGCAGCTTAACTGCTGAGAGTAAGACATTTGGAGCCCTTCGTGCATCATTTTAGGAAGAAGTAGTTCTGAGACTTTCAGCATCATAATTTCCGGTTTTTAGTTTCAATATTTTATGTATTTACCACTGGTAAAATATGGCAACGCATTATATGTTTTTAATAATTATCACAACAACAAAATTAAATTTGTGGATTATGTTTGCACTATGATAGTTTGCTTCAATTCTTAGTTAAAGAAGACAGGAAATACCGATTATGAGATAAAGTAATGTATTGTAGGATGGATATCTTGGACGGATGGACGAACGGGCAGGTTGTCGGACGGACGGGCGGTCATTTCAAGGCCTCGTTCAGATTTTTAAGTATATGCAGCTAGCTTGAAGATATATCTTCTGACAGCAATATGTAGAGCAATATTTCAATGAGTGAGGAAATAATAAACCTTTACTTAACACTGATATGGTCTTGAATTAACTTATCAGTCTTAACAAAATCTTTCATCATTTTTAAAATGAGATAAGAAATAATTACTGACTATAAAACGAACAGTGCCGGCTTTTCTTGCATATCAGACTGGCGTTTCCGTTAGTTTTACCCATGCCCGAAATTTCATCTGGCATGGGGGGTTCCAGATGAGTCGCGTGCTGTACACTGGCACGATAAAGATGACGTCATTTTACCGTTATGAATATGATTTTGTAATTCATACGCTGCTGAATGAAAGTAGTTACGGTTGCAATGATATAAATTTTCATTGAAAATAAAAGATAAATAATTTAAAATATAATGGAATATGGTAGAATATGCAAGAAAATATATCTGACATATGTTTGCGGTTCGGATCGGAATATCCGTCCCTCGGTCACCCGCCCATGGGCGGTAACTCGGCAAGCCTCGTTACCGCCCAATGGGCGGGTCACCTCGGGACGGATATTCCGATCCGAACCGCTAAATATGACAGATATTATTAATCTAGATTACGTAGAATTATAGCAGGATTTAATTGAAATTTTTCCATAAAAACACTCCGTTGTAAATAAAATTGACATGACTAAATGAAGTACTCGTGAAATATATCGATCATGGAAGTATAACAACTAATTTACCCTGTATTAAAAATGTATCCTGTCTGCTGCTGACATGGTTATGACAGTTTGTTGTTTTGAAAAAGTTGCTAAAATACGAACTTTGAAACATTGAAATTCATCACTTTGTCAAAAGTTTAACAAGGATAGACCAGGTAGTGTAAATTAGGAACATTTAATTAAAAACATGTAACAACAACATGAATTATAAAACAGAAACTTACGATCTACACCTTGACAGTTGTCTACATAACCGTTTGGACATTCACATTTATATTTGTTTGTTTCATCGACACAGGCACCAACCCCACATGGCTGTGATAAACATTCATCCACATCTGTAAAATAGTAAACTTTACTATGACACAATGGATCAATTAAGATATGACATATTTTAATTTCAATATGACGTCGGCGGTCGGAATAAGAAATATTGTGATCGGCGGAGTGGATTCAGATTTATCAAAACGTACACATTTACGTACATTTCAAAAATATCTACCGTTGCTGTCACTAGTTTCTAATTGCTAACATTATTATTTGTTTAGTATTTAACACTTGAAACAATTGAGTTTTTAGTAAGTGCAGTATAATATGATGGCCAGTTGTGCTCATTTCAAACAAGCGAGAAATTTTGACGTTTTATCATAAAATGTCGCGTGCAACTTAAAAACCCGCGAAATTTCCTGTCGAAATCGCACACAATTTCGCAAGTAATGTATAAACCTGTATATGAACAAAAGACATTCGGCCGGTAGCGTCCATTGTTTTGACTCATTTTGACAATATTTTATCCCCTTGTATGTCTATAAAAATTTGAAGAACAGAAAGAAATCCGCGACATCTTTTGCAAGTGTTGTAGAAAGTTTAGAGTCATGGGGAATGATAATAAGCGTCGACTTTTGCTCCTTAACAACGGTGTCATAAAATATCACGCAGGTAATAGCATTTTCAGCTGCGGTTTTGCGCAGACGGAATGATTTAACCGGGATGAATTACGCTAAGCACTCGGATTTTCATTAAAAAATCGCGGACTTTTAAAAAAGAGGCAGTCATTTATTAAAAGAGAGTTCTCCCAAAATGAAACGTCGATGCTAAATTCTCAAACTCGACTTTAAACCAAGGTATGCGTCAAAACAAAACATGATAATGGCCGCAACCTGCTACCTTAAGTCGGCATGTTTGCGTGACTTGTCTACTATGAAGACAGAAGATGTCTGCGGATTTAAAATGGAGACTTTCTGCCATCATATTATAACATGAAAATGTTACACAAAGCTTCTAAGATCGTATCTTTATACAATTACCTCAGTTAGTCTAAAGCATAAACGGACATATAAATTAGAATCAATAAAGACATGCGTGCTAACTGGTCCTTTTTATGCCACGAAACACACAATTTGAAATGTTTACGGTTTGTTTAAAGTAAAAGCAGTTTGTCAATATCTTGTGCTGAGATACAGTAAATATGACAATCAGTCATGAGGACAAGGCGAAGTGTAATGGACAATGAAAAAATATAAAGAGAGCTGTTCTAGTAGAAAACTGTTCTTTGAAAAAATGAGAATTTGTAAAAGTCTGTTACGGCTAGGATTAACAAAAAGAACAGCATGTGGTCATGCCGGATGGTTCTCCATGATAACACGAGATTATATTCGGTGATGATGGTGACAATGTCTTTAGTGATTTTATACATTCAACATGGAGATGTCAATACGACAAAAATTTAGTCGGCGTCATTTAAGAGTCTACCATCTCCGTAACACTGGACGTGCGTCCACCAATTGCGAAGACTTTCTAGGGATTGAAACTGATTACGTGAAAAACATTCAGATGCACAGTAGTTGACCAAGGGTCTCATATGATAAAAACTTCATAGGTTTTGATCGTTATCTTTTTGTTAGCCTTGAATGGCTATTACACAAACTGTACAGAAATAAGTGAAGAATATGATTAAACATGCAAAGGAGAAGTTTTTTTTAATAACTTACAATTTTCCATATCTGATCTTAATTGTAATAACGCCAGGCAATATTGGAAAACCGTAAAGAAGTTTATCAAAGAAAACAAAGGTAGTGTGAATATTCCTCCATTTCTATATAGAAAATTCGCCAATTACAATTTACTTTTTTACCGATCTAGAAAAAGCAAATTGTCTAAACGATTATTTTGTTTCAGTCACAACTGTAGACGACGCTCATTCGTCCCAACCAGATTTTGTTGCTTAAAGTAATGTTACCTTTTCAAGTTAACAAATAAGCATTCAGGAAAAAGGCGATGTCTTAATAATACTTATTACAAATAAAGCAAGTAAACCAGATGAAATTAGTCATAGAATGCTATATGAAACAATATATTCTGTCTGTGCTCTACTATGCATTTTATTGAACAGATCCCGATTATTAGTCGAAAATATTTACCCTAATTCATGGAAATCAGCAGTATAAAAAGGGCAATAAAACATGCCTATGAATTATATACAATTATATATTTCGCTTATATGTTGTGTAGGTAAAGTATTTGAGCGAATTGTTTTTAGCACGTTTATAATCACTTACATCTTCATAATATTATAGATCATCATCAGTCTGGGTTTTACCGGGTCACTCCATCGTCTTTCAACTTGATAGTTATCATCAAAATACTCAGGCCTTTGACAAAAAAAACCCCAAACAATCTACATGTTTGATATTTTGTGATATTTCGAAAGCGTTTTATAAGGTATGACGCAAAGGCCTTATCTTTAAATTGCGGCAATACGGTATTGATGGCGATATAAATATATTAAATTGATTGAGTAACTATCTTTTAAATCGACACCAAAACGTTTTCGTTAAAATGAGTAAATAACTACTGCGGGCGTTCCCCATGGATCAGTCCTGGGTCCGTTGCTATTTCTAATCTACTCTAATGATATTGCGGATAATCTATTAAGCATAACCCGCTTCTTTGTAGATGATAGTTTGTTGTCGATTTCCTCTAGTAAAATGAGTTTTATAGAAAACACATTAAATACCGATCTACACACTCTTAAAAAATGGTCTCATAAGTGGCTAATTCAATTTATTCCAGATAAAACAAAAAGTAATGTTTTATTTCCTTAAATGATGAACAACGTTGTTCTCAATTCTTTGAAAATAAAAAACGTACTTATGCAAAAAGGCATAAACATCTTGGACTTACATTAAGTGAAATTGCGCGAACACATTAATAAAATTATGATATCAGCTTCTAAAGTTCTAAGCTCAATGCAATCGTTGAAATTCAAACTTAAACGAAATACATTAATTTAAATTTATTTATCATATATGCGACCAATCCTCGAATATGCCTCCACTGTTTTGGATGGCTTTAATGAAAATGATAAACATTCTCTTGAAAAACTGCAAAACGAAGCAGCGTTGTTGTCACAGGCCTTACTAGATCGGTATCTATAGAACGTCTGCTCAGAAAAATTGGCTTGGTATCTTTGTCGGATAGGATAATTATGCAAAAATTAATAATAGTGTACAAAGCCCATCAGAACAATGTTCCTAGCTGCTTACTTAATCTCTTCCCAAATAGTGCCGCTAATGCTACGCCATACTATCTCCGAAATGATAATAGATAAGTGAAAACACAAATATTCACAAAATCGTTCATTCCTTCATCCATTGAGTTTTGGAACAATTTGGATGATCATATCAGACATGCGGCTTCTCTTAATACATTTAAATCTCGTCTCAAAGAAATGTTTAAACCACATGCCGTTCCTAAATATTTCCTAAACGGAGATCGAAGTTTATATTTTTACCATGCACGTACTAGAAACGAATGTAGTAAATTTAATGCGGATCTTGAAAAAATAAACACGAGATCACTCATTCTGCAGGTACTGTATTGAAGATGCGGAACACTACTTTTTTAAATGTCCCAAATAAAACGGGAAAAAAGTGCAGTTATTCCGTTCAACTTGAGTTTCTATCCTTTGAGCGTTATGACCCTTTTGTTTGGAAAAGAGCCTCTTTCTGATGAGAATAGTTCATTTATTTTTGACAAAGTACAAACATGTGTAGATTTGAAAGGAAATAGCTATTAGCTATCTTAACATTTTTATATTATATATATAAATACTACTTGCCACGTTCAATTTATATCCCTATATACTGAACTCTATTCCCCTTTTTATTTTCTTTTTTATTTATTCTTTTCTTAATCTTTCTCTTTGTTCATATTACCACCACTGCTGTACTATCATTCAATTTGGTTTATAACTGTCTTATTATTATAAGATAATTCCATATATCAGGGAAGAACCGTTTGCTAATGTTGAAAGCACTCGTGGTGTGGTTCAACCCATTTGCTACTTTTGTGTTTATATTATGATAATCAAATGTTATAAATGTGTCAGAATGTAATAAATTTGTAAGAAAAGATCAAAAGAATATGTTTAAATACAAAATATTGACCTTTGGTTGGCCTGTTTGCGCGCTATTCCGAAGAGTTATCAACTACAAATTATTTCTAAATGCTGCAGAAAAAACATAGAATCAACGAATATATTTGTCACAAAGAACTGCGAAGATTCATGATAATTTCTAAGGAATTTATCCGTATAATGGTTTTATGGGAAGCAAATGAAATGTGTTTCTGGTCAAACGCAACATAATGATGAAAAATATAAATATTACCTGTGAAAGAAACACCTGTAATCTTTCTATACATTTACAGGGATTCACTCAACATAATGATCGATATGTAACAATGGACTGATTTCAAATTTAACTTAATAAAAATTGTTAAACTTTGTTATTTTCATTTAATCGGAGGCATGAAGAAATATTTTAATACGAATGGCTAGTCATTAGTATGTGCAGAATATATCGTGAAAGAAAAGATATATTAGAAATAATAAACTATAAATTACAACAAAAAGTTCCTCGGTGGAGCAGTAAATGTCACTGCATATTATTTTTGCTCTGTAATCTCACGAGAGACAATCCAGACGAGAAATGAACATGACCAACGATAACAATCACATACTCACACACATGTTTTTGAAGCCATCATGTATAATTCATATAAGGGCTTGCTTACGTTTTAAAATTTGACACAATAAAATCCTGCACTACCTTCATCACAATTCTGTCCTCCCCATCCAGATCTACATTCGCAATGGTAGCTTTCACCAGAATCTACACAGCAACCATTGACACAAGGGTTTGAGTCACACTGACTAGTTTCTGGAAAATTTACTTGGCAAATTGATAAATATGGATAAAATTGAATTGGACATATATATTTGTTGTGCATTTCGTTAACTGATTTAACAAATGACGTAATAACAAAATTAGAATCTCTTTTAAATACATACAGTTAATAATTCTAAGATCATGAAATATATAAAACAGAGAAAACATGATGGTAAGAATCAATTTTAATAATGTACCGTTTTTACATTCACAATGATCACCAAAATAACCTTCTTCACAGTTATCACAAACAACTTCATTTTTATCCCATGTACATTGATGAAAGAGCGCACATTTACCTGCATAATATAAAGCATTATTTTCGAAGTCGAAGGTACGATAATGAAAAGCCGAAACTACGATGGTGAAAGGCGCAGGTACGATGATGAAAGTCCGAAATAGCAATGATGAAAGGCAAATTTACTAAACCTAGCAAATAAAAACTCGATGTAATGTCTTGTTTTTGACCTTCTATCATCGTGGTTCTTTGTTTCGTCATTTCGACTTTTCATCATCGTACTTATGACTTTTCATTATCATGTGTTAGACTTTTCACAATCGTGGTTTTGTTATTTCGACTTTTCATCGCTGTACCTTCGATAGTACACCATCATGGTTTCGGCTTTTTACCATCGTACTTTCAACTTTTCATCATTTCGGCGTCGATTTTATATCATTGTTGTTTCGCCTCCCGGTCTAGCATGTGCACATAAATCATGATGATATTTGACGATATAAGAATTTTTTAACAGTGCTACAATTATTTGGATGTTATTTGGATCATGATGTTAGCATAATGTTAGTATTTTGAGTTGTAATCCTGAGCGCATGCTCAACGGAAGGTAAAAAAATAACGATGTCATATCTATCTATTGTATTTTGGATATACCAAAATAAGTAGAAAACAAAACATTTCGTATATCATAATATACTAAAATTTCAAACATATTTATATGATTTTATTTTGAAGTCTAACTTTGTCCACAGGTACCATCATGGCCAACACAAAACGGGATATTATTTTCAGGGGAGGGGGTGGGTCGTTATTCTTTGCGACAATAATGTTATGCGGGATTATTCAACTATGTTACATGGGCCATATGTCTGATTTAATAAGAACACATTTCTATATAGATAATCTGATTTGCATATAACAAATAAAACAATGTACCAGGGCTGTTCGAAAAGAATTGCTTATTGTCCTCTGTCTCGTGATCCATGTAGACACGATAAAAACCAATACATACCTGTATAGGGTAATTCAATACCTACACAACGGTGTAAAAATGTACATGTTAGAGTAAGTGTAAGACATACAATTTGCCTTTTAAATACACACAGTCACTGACCACAACTGGCGGGTAGAAGCGTCGACAAACATGATGAAATACGGGCTTACATCAAAGTTCGATCAAAACTGGGTTGCTCTTTGAAGCAGTTGATGACTGAACTCTCGACTGCTTATGAACCTTCTTGTGTATCTTATGACACAGTTACGCGATGAAAAAAAAAATGAGTTTGGTGTAGAGTGCATAAAAATGCACCAAAATCAGGAAGGCCAAAATCTGCATCGAAATCGTTTCCAAAATAAAGGATATCATTGAAGGAGATGCCAGATTTGCAGTTCGTGATATTGTACGAAAGATAGGCATATCACTATCAACGGTTCACTTTATTTTGAAGAAGCATTTGAAAGTCAGAAAGATTTCTGCTAGATGGGTGCCACAACTGTTGACCGATGAGCAAAACAGGCAACGGGTGAAGGTGTTCAAATGTTTCCAAAATATGCCAAACACAGTTTTCCAATGTCGTCCCAGGTAATGAAACTTGGGTCTATTATTTTGAGCCCATCAGAAAAGTAAGCAACAAAATCTGGGCCACTAAACACAACAAACGCCCTGTTATTGCCAAACGGTCTTTGAGTTCAAAAAAGGTTTTGTATGCAATTTTCTTCTCAAGTGAAGGAGTCGCAATAAAAGTGCCGGTGAAAAAAAGCTAAAGTATTGCTGGGAAGTACTACAAAGACGTATTACTTAAGAAACTGAAAAAAGTATTATAAGAAACGACGGCCTGTCACTGGTTTTAAGCATATCCGTTTTTTACATGACAAGGCCCCCGCTCATACCTCCGCAATATTTTCGGCGTTTTTGAAAAAAAAAGTAAATGTTTTGCCTTCCCACGTATTCTCCAAACCTTGCCCCATGTGATTTCTTTTTGTTTCCGAAATTGAAATCCTACCTTGCTGGGCTGAAAAACAAGTCCCGACAGGCACTTGGATCTGCCATTCATCTGTACCTTATTATTGTGCCCAAATCAGCTTACCGTGAAGCCTTCAAGAAGTGGATACATCGGCTGAAACTTTGCATTTCTAGCCACGGGGAATACTTCGAGGGCATGGAGCTAACTTGAAATTTGAAGTCTCCAGATACAAATAAGCAATACATTTCGAACACCCCTGGTATTTCCATCAATAATTCTTTTCAACCTTCGCGATCGTCCGCTGCCTTAAAAAAATAACACGTTGATTATTTATAAATCTAAATCATTTTCACAAAATTAACTTACATCTCATGCAGATTTTTTTCCCATTTTTGTCAATGCAGGCATGTTCTTTTAATCCAAAGGATTCACACTGAAAATTATATTTATATTTTGGTGAAAATTGGTTATTAAAGATACAAATGAGTTTTTCTTTCTTTAGAAATACATGTAATGTCTTATCTAGTGTTTAAAATAAGGTTTTAAAGCATGTTGTATGCTTATCACCTGAAGACAGAAGTACTCAATATAAAATTTTATGTCAATAAAAAAGAGAAAATGTAAACTAAGAAATATTTTGAATTCCATACGAGTACTTAATAAATATACCTGAATTAATTGCTAATAAGTAACAGAAGCTAAAAGTTAGAGTAGTAAGGGAAATCTCACATGATCTGTCATGGCTGTTTTATGTTGAAAATATTTACAGGGTATTTGTTTCTTTTGAAAAATATAAAAACTGTAATGTTGTCTGGAAATGAAAATATGGATTTTTTTGCCATAAAATCAACTGCAATAGATAATTTTACGCAAATCATACAATTTAATTCGCTCAAAAATTTTCATCATTTTAGATACTCTCCTATTCCGTTGTCACCAGCTTGATGCCGTATGAAACAAAATTAAGTTACTGAGTTTCAGCTAACATTATATGTCATTTATAAAATTCTTAATATATCTTAATTTAGAATCAAAAGCTCCTGAAATTTAAATAACGTAAAACACTTAAGTTGAAGTCAACCACGACTAAGGTCGGTATGGAGTACCAGTATATTTTTAAGAAAAGGTTTTTAAGCTTTAAGGATGACTTCAATATTCGTATTTGTTTGTAACTAAATTTCATTTTAATAAGCCCGTAAAGCCACATTATCCTTTCCTTACTTAAATGTACTTTTCTAGAGCGGCTTTCACAATTAAATTATTACCAGTCACGCCCGTCTCCAGAAATCTCACTTTCATTCTCTGCCATGATTCATAAATGATGTCAGTCTTATTCAAATTTTAAGCGTAATTTCTTAAGTACGCCTCTTTTTATGAAAACGCTTTTATGCAAAAAAAAAAAAAAAAAGAAAGTCGGATGTAGGTTAAAATTTACGCATATTTTAACCATAAGTACGTTAGTTTAACGGGTCGCAGGTGCCTATCCGTGATTATTTGAGCTGGGTAGAACAACCGACGTTTCATAAACTAAGTGGATAGCTTCCTCATATGAAAGAACCCAAATTCTCTGTTGCGATTCGAACCCTGAGCGGTGAGGGAAAATCGCCTTTACCATTTGGACACGGACACCCCCTGAAGTAAGATATGGTTAGGGTAACCACAGAATAACATTTCATTCTTTTTTCTCTGAAAATATTGAGCTTCATCTAACAACTTTATTTTTCAAATAAAAATAAAATCAACCAGTTATAATGCTTAATTTTTAAATATGCAATTTGACAATGATATTTAATGTCTTATTGAATGGTTTAAGGAGAGAGAGAAAGTCTGACAGACATATATAGAGACAGGCGTCGTTTTCATGAAACAAATAGAGAGAGGCGTCGTTTTCGTTGAACAGATAGAGAGAGGCGTCGTTTTCATTGAACAGATAGAAAGAGGCGTCGTTTTCATTGAACAGATAGAGAGAGGCGTCGTTTTAATTGAACAGATAGAGAGTCGTCGTTTTCATTGAACAGATAGAGGCGTCGTTTTCATTGAACAGATAGAGAGAGAGAGAGACGTCGTTTTCATTGAACGTGTAATTCTGATAGTACTTACATCACTATGTGTCGTACATTCATATACTTTTGGTTTCGGGCAGCCGACTTCCTCTGCATTAGACATGCTCGCAAGTGAGAAACATATCTGAAATAAAACAAAAAGCTAAACTGCCTATACCTATTGCTTAATCCATACATTATTTTTTTTTTATAAAATAAGCTTAAATGTTAACGGTATGTAGATTCAGTAGATTTTATAAACACATTTACTGAATGAAAAAAGAAACTTCGCCTGTGTTTAAGTTGAGATATAGTTTTATTTCTAAAAAATCAAAATGTCAGATGAGCTACATATAATTTGGCGAATGAATAAAGATATGTGTCTGATAAAATAGATTTTAAATCGATTTTAACTCCTTTTGCAGGAGAATCCAACTGACTGCGATTTTCACTTGCATGCATGGACCAGTAGATTCTTGTATACTTTATGAAGTTTTTTCCTTTTAGGCAACGTTTTCAAGCAACAACACGTACAGAAGATCGACCACGTATTGGACGTCTGCGCGTCACGACCAAGACCGCTATATTCTGAACAGCAACCTGCACAATCGCTTCCAAACTGCCACAGCTATTGCTGCTTACACCCCTAGTACACATATCAATCGTATATCTGGCCAAACTGTTCAATTGCGCGAGAGTGGGCTACTTCGACGTTCGCCATACGTTGGTTGAGGCGACGTCGCCGCGTAAATCGTGTTATTTGGACACGTACATACCAACGCTGGCGTAGACAACAATGGACTCTGGCGAGTCGAGGTTTTCCAGTCATCGAGCTGATGCCAGGGATCGAGTTTACCGTAGGAGAAGAAAAAACGTTATGCCGACTGCTGCTTACTTGAACGAGATCGTTGTCTAAGGGGTGGGGGTTCAGTCTTGGTCCAGACAGGCATTGTACATGGCTTTCGCACTAATCGCGGCTTTATCAAAGGGAACTTGAATGCCCAATACTACCAAGATAAAATTCTTCTGAGGCAATTTTCCCACTGTTTCAAATAATGCCAATATCATTCTTTTAAACATGACAACATTCCACAAGCCAAACTCAAACTCTATTTGCCAACGATGCCAGGCAGTCCTTCATACTGAAGGTGATCATACCCGATATTAAATTATGATTTTTACGTCCCTTCTGCATTTTAAGTATCATGTCACATCTTTTGAATAAACTCCTCAGCAATAATTGTTTCCACAATAATAAGTCGCAATAAAATAGTCCTTCAATATATACTCTCAATTAAATGTAAAATCAACAGTTTAGTTGGTATAAACATTTACAATGTCCATCGCCAGTACACAACTATATGGCGGATAAAATATGCAGTTAAAATAAAATAATGTTGTAACAGAGTATCAACATTCTAATTCATGTACATTTATATAAAAATCCTACCTTAACTACAAGTTCGATTACTTCATATTACCGTGGCAATATATAGCAAGTATAACAAGATTTTTCAATATGAACTCATCATATGGTATTTGTATATCTCTATTAACGTAAGCTTTATACGCATATTTTGGGATTATCAAAGTATTGATTATTTAATATATAAAGAGTAGGATAATCTTGTTTTGAATTTGTATGGCGTAATGCGGCAGGCAAAAATGTTGGGAAAAATGTTAAATTCATCGGTAAAGATCTTTTATCAATGGACGACCATATTCTTCAGCGATCCATGAGCTTAGGGGGTCAAGAGCTATCCCTTAGCATAGGAGCATGGACTATCAACGGATTAAGACAGAAGTTAGGTGATCAGGACTTGAATGACTAAATAAAATGTTTTGACATTATTTTTCAAATGAGACGTGGATTTCTAGTGAAAATATAACAACTCTTAACATTGATAGTTTTGAAAGTAATCATTTATATGGAGTTAAATCGAAACACAAAAAACTGGGTATTTCTCTATATTATGAAACATATCTTAAAGATAAAATAATTATAATTGAAAGAACATAAATGGACTATTTTGGATAAAATTAGATAAAACTCCTTCTTTCACACGACACTGATATTTGTCTATGCCATACTTACATCAAGCAATAATTCGTTTGTGTTAGAAAATAATGCATTTGACTTTTTTGCTTGTTTAGAATCAAATATTGTTCATCATGAAAACTTAGGCCATGTTCTCAATACTGGTGTCATGAATAGTAGAACCTCTGATGATTACGATTTTATTGTTTTTGATAAATACTTAGATGACTATCAACTATTGATTTATAAATTTGATAGTTTCTCACACAGATGTAGTAAAGATAAGGTCATTGATTTTTATGGGAGAAATCTGTTACCATTATGTATATCGACCGTTTTTTTAATTGCAAATGGCCGATTAGAAAATGATTCTTTAGGAGATACTACTTCTTGTAATGTTAGGGGTGCCAGTGTTTAAGATCATCTTTAAATTCAATATGATACTTTCAAATATTTAGATATTTTTTCTATAAATGATTTCAATGAATTCTCTGATCATGCGTGTATGTCTTTTGAATTCAAGTCTAAATTTAGTGTAACATTAGAGTTTGACAATACAAAATCAGAAAACACTCATAATAATATAACAACAATAGTTTTTGACACAATTAAGTTAAACGGTTTTAACTGCATGTCAAGAAATGAATATGAGTCAATTAATAAATTGATAACACAAGTTTATTCTGGTGACGTCAATGAATCTGCGAAACAATTCACAAATTTACTTCATTCAGCAGCTGAAACTGTATTCGGTAAGATGACAAAATTAAATACGAAAATCAGTTATGGTTTGATAGCAAATATAAACAAGAAACGATTAAATTTAAATCTCTTTAGAACTTGTATAATAGGAATGAAACAGATGAAAATAAACAAAGTTTTTTTAAAGACAGGTTTTAAAAAAATGTTTAAAAAGAAAGGTAAGTTTAAATATAAATTAAAAGAGGGTGATCGTTTAAACAAATTAGCCTCCTCAAACCTACTAAGTTTTGGAAAATTCTTAAATCTTAGTACAAAAAAGAAACTAACATAGCAGACTCACTCACAATTGATGACCTCTAAAATCATTTTAAATCATTTAAAAAAACATGTACGATCAAAATGAAAATTACTCCAATGATGTTTTTAACATACCCGACGAAAATATCACTTCCCATGACGAAATGCTCAATAGAAAGAAATACGAATATATGTTATGTCACAAAATAACAATAAAAGTCCCGGTATCACGGATTTATATTACATGCATTTTGTGGTGGACTCTCATTTAGAAAAGACTACACACATTACGTAAAATCATGATAATCGTTGTTAAAATAATTTTTACATATATATTTTATCAATAATAAAGCAACAAAATGTACGAAATGTATTTAGCTAATACGAGAAACTGGGTAAAAATGTAAATAATTTTGCTACTTATATCGGAAGTATTTTTAACCTCTCAGTACTTTGTAAAATAAGTTTGATGTATTTAAGAGATTGTTTGGCAAGACAGTCAAATCGGATAAAATCATGCGAACTGAATTTTTAAAAAAAATTTATTAACAGGCATTGTCACATGTTGTGATATTTTTTCTGAATAATAAAAAACTTCCATTTCATATGATGTATAAATCTCTTTAGTTTATTATGTGAACTATTTGAAGAAGAATAAAGTAGAGATTTTCCTCAATAATAAATATATATTTCCACATTTTTGACAACAATTAATTCAATTATTTTCTAGACCGACGTGGTTGCAAAGAGATTTTCTGCCCTACCCAAGATAAAGTTCTAGATACGGTTGATTTTTTTTTCACAATGCTCAACGTACCGCGTTGTAAAATGTATATTTATAATAAAATAATTGTCTATCTTGTGTTAATTAATTTAACCTGAAAAAAGACGTTACTTTATGGTAACGCATGTTTCGATCTTAGGCGCCATTGACAAAAAAGAACTGAAATGAAATTAAGAAAATAATGATTTTATTGATAAACAGCTTATTTTTTTGTTTATAAGCATGCTTATTCTTCGCTTACATAATTTTTAAATTGTTACGATTAATGAACATGTATTTGGCGACACTGGATATCCTTTATATTAGAAGGGGTGAGGTTTTTACAGAAAAATATTATTTTTGCTATTTACCAAAGAGCACATGTCTGTACAAATTAATCAATGTTCAAGTTTTAAAGAAAAAATGGCAAGTGTTAAAATGAAGTAACAAATTTTAAAAATGTCTTAACTATTTTGTTCTCATTCAGTAAGTATTCCAGAATTCCCCAAAATCATTAAGTATTTTATAGATCATTTAAGAAAAAAAACCACAGGTGGAACGACTCTTGACGGGCTCCATAGTTTAATTTTAAACAAGGTAAATGTTCTGCACTTTGACGACATATAAGCACTATTTAATAAGTTTTCTTTTTCATGATTTCGATAAAACAATTAACATTATGTTTCAAACATATTTTTAATGAGTTTGGTATACTTGAAGAATATCTTTTGAATTTATATTTATCATTATTATTTTAATCACTATCAAAAAGTAACACGTCTAAGTAGGTTAATGACTTTCGTTCAATCAAAGCTATTTTTGTACTGGTAATGGCCGTGCATTAACAAACGCATTCTAACCTAGCGCATACACGGTTCGATTGTGATTATTCGGCAAGGTATTCTGACGATAATCTCTTACAAAAAAGATTCGATGTACAAAAAGACCTCATTTAAAAGTTAATCTTAGTAAATGCAAAACATTTATTTGAAGAACACGAGAAAAAATATCATAAAATATACGTCACACGTATAAAATAGAGAAAAGCAGAATCCCTTAAGAAAGTCCAACACGGCAAAATAAAAAATGTTGCAGGCTCGGTTTGATTGAGCCTGTTCATTGACGGTACTGGAAATTGCAAGTTACCGTCCACGCCCTCTAGCACCGGCTTAAGCAGAATACGAAAATGGTGAAATTTTGAATTTAGAAACATCCGCAGATATGTTCATACAGCGTTCCATGACAAGCGGTGTATGCTCACCCAAGTACACGGTTTTATAGAAATTATGTTGTCAAATATAACAAATATAAACTTAAACAAATAAATTGTTTGTGCATCAAACAATAATAAATACTATTTGTTTATTATTTGTGTTCAAAATACAATATTAGCTTAAATAATCATTCTGTATATTTTACTGTCAATACAGATATTATTGACATAAATTATATATGACTATGAAAAAATATATATATCAGAACAATAAACCTTGTCTTGAACTTTTTCATGAAGATTTGAAAAGATTGAAAAGTCGTTTTTGATACATAATCAAATTTTGATAAATATTCACACTACAAATTTTAAACATTAATACATGTAGCTTCAGAAAAAAGCAGAACAATATAAATTCTTTCTAGATAATTCTCAAAGAAAACAAATATTTAAGAATTTGATCAAAATTGAAAACATACCAGAATAAAAACCAACAGATGTTCCATACTTCTCAAACTATTGATATTATCGTCTGCTGTATCAGAGTGATGGGACGTGACTGCTGTAAACCGACCGTATTTATACTAATTTATGAACGTGAATCTATATTAAAACTGCGCACGCAAGTATACATTAACGGATAAAAAATATATCGCTCTGAAAATGTACGTCATCAAAAAACAAATGTGCGAATGTTTCATACCTTTTTTCATCGGGAACAAATAGGTTTAATTGTCGATGTATTTACTATTAAAAACTATTTCTTTCACAACAAAAGCAACAATTATGTCAGATTTGCGTCCTCTTCTGTTACTTTCCTTTTAAAATCATAACATATTCGTAATGAAAATACAACAAGAGCATACTCACCGTGTATATCAAGTAACGCTGGAATGTGCAAATAATGCAGAAATTGTGCAAAAGTAATGCAGAATATGTGACCAAAACGAGCACCATGGAACTAAAATGAACGTAGACATGAATCAGTGCATACGGCTGTTTAGGCATTATATTTTAAACGCCATAAATATCCATGAATGTGTTTATTTTCAAGATCATTTTTGAAAATGACGACCTGACTAGAGTATAAATGGCGACTTTTGTGTTTCGTCGATATAAAAAATGTATTTAAATATATTAACGCACATATTTCACAATGATTAGTTGAAATGTAACTATTAAGACATTTTTACGAGGTAACGCCGGATTCGTGAATGATACACCGAAACAACTATGGTTACCTAACAATTAACAACAGAATCTTATTTTACCTGCTTCATTGTAGTGTTATACGACAATTATAGTTAGAAAAATGTTAAAGTATACAGAATATAAAGTTTTAAATGCGTTAATGTACTTATTAATTTTGACGAAACACAAAAATCGTCTTCTAAATGGTAGTCAGATTGTCATTTTCACAAATGATGTTAAAAAGTAAACATATTCTTAGAAAAATTTGTAATGTTGTAATGTAATGTCCTAGCAGCCGTATGCGGTTATTCATTTATTTTAACTTGACTTAGGATAAAACGTTGGGCTGATTTACTTACCATGTTTCTCGTAGTGACCATAGCTTTGCACAGGTTCGGCGTTACTTTTGTTTCATTTGTACATTTCAACGTTACTGGATATACACGTGATATTATGCGTTTTGAAGAAATTTTGAATTGTTGTAATATGATCATTGTTTTCATATGTATTAGTCAGAGATATGTTTTCAACAATCATTCTATGAATGTATCAAAGTTTGCAGGCAATTTTTATGAACTTACAGACTTGAATCAAAAGACCGTCGAAAATGTGCTTTCACACTATCTGAAAAGTTACACATTACCCACCCCTGGGTCAATATTGGTACAAAAAGACCATTAAGTTTGAAATAAATCTACTTACTTTAATTAAATCGTATATTCTTAGTTATTCAACTATGATCAAAGACTGAAGCTTGGAACCACTATCGAGTCCACTTCCTTTAACCAAACAGTACTTGTGTCAACTATAAGAAAACAAAAACATTAGCTCTGATACCCATTGTCTTTGTTTTGAGAGAACTTTTACCACAATACCACTTTTCCACCTTATAAATCTAAATTTAATTCAAATTCATTTCCTGAATCATAACGAAAGATCAATTCCATCTTTTTTTCAAATCCATGGACGGGTTATTAAAAAAAAACGGGGTCGGTGACCCCAAGTTAGTTCGGCCATTCGTTCAAAAGAAAATATAACCAGATGCTTCAATTGATTTCACTTCTAAGGAATATTTTCAGTCTTTTGACCATTTTAAATACCTGTCAAGAACAAAAGAAATTCAGCATTAAAAAGTTTACAGCAGTCATGTTAACGGCGACATATTGAAGCTAAGAATCAATACAGCGTATGGTTTGTTAAAGGACATATTTCGTGGCCGGTCAGTCACTTTTCATCGATCAAGGAATGTGGGCGATTCACCAATCATATTTTATTTGCTTCAGTCTGATCATTTTATGCTTTGACCTCTAAATGTTTCTGTGACCTTTGGCATAGGAGTCCGGGTGTTTCGTAAGACAAGTGAAAACATTTCCTATAAAGGAAATGTTAAGCTTAGATCCCCTGATGTCACGTTGATCTTGAAGGTTGGATCCGTGTGTTGCCCATGATACGTCCTGCCATTATAATGATTAGTGCCAATTTATTTCGGGTTCGGATGTTGCGCATGACATGCAAGTTTAACCTTGACCTCGGAAGTAGCGGTCTGTTGATGCGTATGACTTGTTATCTCATTATTGTGAAAATTTGTATTGAATATTGTATTTACAAAATACCTTGATGGATGACAAAGTTACGGGTCGGATACAAAACATATCTTTTAACAGAACATGTTCAATTTTGACTTCCAAGTGTGACCTTGATCTTTGAAATAGGGGTGCGGATTTGCTCGTTATCGTGAACATTTGTGCCAAGTATTTTCAAAATCCCTTGATGGTTGAGAAAGTTATGGAACGAAAGACAATATTGACCTTGTCGTTAGAGGAAGCAGTCTACGTGTTACGCATGACACATTGTGTTATTTAAACACATATTCGTGCAAAGCCTTTTCAAATTCCTGATATGAATGGTTTCGTTATGGACCGGAGACGAAAATGTGACTGACGAAAAGGCGAAAAATAACGATCTAGAAAAAACCAATCTGCCACGATATTAGATTTTTGACGGGAAAGCATTACAGTAATACTACCTTTATACAAAGTATAGAATTTTCACTTTTTGTATTTGTGTAGTCATCCATCAACTTTATTTTTTTGCTTTTAAGATAGGTCTTGCCTTGTGTACAGAGTCTAGCATATGTTCTGTATAAGGTACAAAGTATAACCTGCGATTTGCATCATTTAATTATATTCAACTAAACTCATTCAATAAATTCAGTATTGAACTTACCCTCATTCAAAACCCTCTCTCTACATATTTATATATATTTATGTGTATATCGTTTGCTTTATAATATTTTTATCAAAAAACAACGGGAGGGAATTGTCCGGCCTAATAAAAATGCAGGAGGGGAAATGTCTCAAGAACTAACAAACACGGAAATTGTCCACTGTGTAAACATTTCGGGAGGGGAATCGTTCGGGTTGTCAAAAATAAACTAGAGAGAATTTCCGGGAGAAGAATTTTCCGGATTTTCTATTTGATCACTGTCTACGTTAAAAAACAAAACAAGGAGGGGTATTGCCGTATGGTCAAATATAAATGGGGCGTGAATTGTCCGGGAGTTGATTGTCCGAATTCCATCATTTTAACGAATGAAGTATTTATCAATATAGATTTGTATTAAATTTTGAAAATAATTAAGACTGTTACAAATGAAAGAGCTGTCTTTAGTGAGCTTTGTTAAGTGCCTCTTATATCTTGAAAAGAAAGAATTTTGAAAGACAGGTGCAAGGTCATCTGGTCCTCTTAGTCCGGACATATTTATTCATTTTATGTATGATAATCGGAACTTGGTTAAAATTCATGTGTCAGTAGTATTAAATCATAGATATTCTGCGTTTTAGTTAGGAACATACCGGCCTGTGTAGTGCCACATACTGCGCATGCGCGGTTGCCATTTTGATTTATAGTTTAAATGTCTTTTTGCAATATAATGTTGGTTTAGTTTCATTACACATTCAAATAATTAATCTTTTAAGACGAGTTCTATAACAATTCAATTAATTTTGTTTGCAAATCGGCAAGCAAGCAAGGTTTTGATGTTAAATCATCAAGTCGCCGGATAGAAAATGATTGTATTATCATAAATACTATTTTATAAAAATAACCACAAAAGGGATTCGCCATTAAACCTGTTTTATACATGCCACTATATGTTTTTCCTATCTTGTAATATTTTAGATGTAAGATGCAAGATCTACCTTGTTGATATTATATTACAGTGACTTTGTAGGAATAAATCCTCATGACTTTTCCATTTCCCTACATGCATGCAATAGCTGTGATTTTTCTACGAATTGCCCTTCTTCACTTTGCACTTTAAATTTACAAGCAAATGCTTCACGTGCATTTGTAGAAAGAAATGAAACCTTTGGAGTTAAAAGTACGGAATAGAATAGGTGCCTGGTGTGTGTTCTTTATTAACTCGAAATTTCAATTTCGTCTTACTTACTGGAAATTTCTATTTACTTAACTCGAAGTTTCGACTTACTAGCTCGAAATTTCTATTTACTTAACTCGAAATTTCCACTTATTCACTCCAAATTTCGACTTATGAACTCGAAATTTCGACTTACTAACTCGAAATTTCGACTAACTTAACTCGAAATTTTGACAAATCAACTCAAAATTTCTATTTACTTAACTCGAAATTTCGCCTTATGAACTTGAAATTTCGACTAACTCGAAATTTCAATTTACTCAACACGAAATTTCGACTTATTAATTCAATGATTCTATTTACTTAACTCTCAAAATTTCAAAATTTCGACCTATTAACTCGAAATTTCGACTGCTGCTTATTGAAATTTTTACATAATTCACTCAAAATTTTGTCTTATTTACTCGAAATTTTGACTTATTAAATCGAAATTTCGACTTACTCAAATCGCAACTTTTCAATGATTTATTACAAGGTCTGTCACTAATGTTACATTTTTAAAAAGATGTTTGTCAATATTCTATTTTTTTATATTTACTCAGACTATGATTTTACAAGAAACGGAAAAATACTCGCATAGTCAGCCCAACAAATTTGACATAGGCCTCAGCTCGCCCCATTTCCTATTTCGGCCAGATGTCCCACACGTTAAGTATGAACGATCCCGGGTCACCATCTCCATCGTACAAGTGCACTTTCTACTATACATGTATAATATTTTATCTTAACTCTTGGTAACTCATAACTTTTTTTAGCCATTCAAATAATGTCACAAAGTCTAAATTTTGCGTTATTGTATTCGAAATTGCGAGTTAGCAAGACGAAATTTCGAGTAACTTAGTCGAAAATTTCAGTAACTAAGTTGAAATTTCGAGTTATATAACTCTAAAT